TTATCACTTTAGGTCTAAATTTCTCTTAGGCAGTAAAATGCAATATTTTTTACCTTGCAAATACTAATAAAGCAAGTCAATTGTCTCTCTCTGCTTTAGTTGTTAGGAAATTCAGAACTGAAGTTGGCAAGAGCAACTGAATGTGACCAAACAATATGCCTGTTTAACCACTGCATGAGTTTTACATTATGGTTTATCTTTAATTTTCTGATATTATTGTCCTTTGCTATTCTTGTATATGTTGTAAAATAAATATTTTTAGAAACTGCCTCAAATACTTTTTGAAAGGAGGCTGGAGAAAATAGAGCAAAGGAAAAGGTCACTAGAACAGTTAGCTTATCATTGGGAACAACTCTCTTCTTGCTTCTTCTCTGCTCCCACCACCAGTAACCCAGTCAAGCAAAACAGGCAAGATATTCCCTTAGGTTATCCTTGATGGTCAGGAGTCTATTTACATCTCTTCTCCCTATTTCACAAATATAGCAGTTAAAAGAACTTACCAGATAGACAATATGAAGATCATTTTCTAAAACAAAGCCCTTCATCGCTCTTTGAAGGTCAGCAAAAATATCTAAGGTATTAGTTGGAGAAAGTGAAGAAAAAAGAGTAGCTGTACCAAGATGTGTTGGATGATATGCATTTCCTGGTTTGTGGTGGGGAAACAGAGCAAATATTAAAAATCAAATAAAACAAAACATGGTCTTTCTGTACTTCATAATTAACCATCTCAGCTCTGATAAATTTTACAAAGAGATCCTTATCCAGTGTGCAGAAGTTTATGAGTAACATGAAAAAAGTTGAGTGAAAGATGAAAGAGAAAATTGCAACTGAGAATTGACATTTACCTTCTGTCGCGTCACTGGGTTCTGTAATCTGGATAAATTCATTTTCCAGCAGCCACATCACACAGGCTTCAATCGCTCCAAGTTGAACAGAATCTTGATTTTTCTGAATTCCCTGCTTCCTTTCTTTCATACTTGCAGCCAAAAATGTGCAAGAAGCATAAATCTGCATATCTTGTGATGTACTTGCCATTCCACTGACTATTATCTGATAAAAAATGTTTGAAAATTTCTGTAACTTTTTTTTTCTTGCAGTAAGGGGGATTGAACCCAAGACCTTTGCACTGAACTATATCCCCAGCCAGCCCTTTGTTTTCATTATTTATTTTGAGGCAGTGTCTTGCTAAACTGCCCAGGTTGGGCATGAACTTGCAATCCTCCTAACTGACCCTCCCAGAGTTAAGAGATTACAGGGTGGGCCGGGGATTTAGCTCAGTGGTTTCCTTGCCTGCTGCACAAACACAAAGACCTGAGTTCGATCCCCCATACCAAAAAAAACAAAGTGATTACAGGGTGAGCCACCATGCCAAGCTCTGTAGCTTTTTTGTAAGGTATGCAGGTCTTCGTGATATATATTAAAATATTCTCAGAAATTTATGTACAGACTCTCTTTAGTAACTTTTCTTTTTGGTACTGGGGATCAAACTCATGACCTTGCGCTTACGAAGCAGGCATGGTGCCACTGAGCTAAATCCCTGGCCCTCTTTAGTAACTTCTCCATCATCACTTGCTGCAAATTGTAGACTATAGATGTTGGTAATATGAAAAGTTTTCCTTAAAAGTAGATGTAAGCTTAGTGCGGTGGTTCACACCTATAATCTCAGCTCTTCGAAGGCTGATGCAGGAAGATCACTCCGATTTGAGGTCAACCTGGGCTATCTAGTGAGTTCAAGGGCAGCCTAGGCTATATAATGAGACTCTGTCTTATAAAACAACAACAACAAAAAAAGTAGATACAATACTTTCTTAGAAACAAAAGTAAATGAATCATTATCCATCTAAAATTTTAGAACTAACAACATATACAAAGGAAGTAGTATTGGTTTATGACCATGAACCAAACAAATTCTTTTTCTCTTTCCTCTAAAACACATGGATGTAGGGCAGGGGATTTAGCTCAGTGGTTTTGCTGCCTGCTGTGCAAGCACAAGGACTGGAGTTCGATCCCCAGTACCAAATAAATAAATAAATTAAATTAAATACATGGACATAAAAGAATGCTACTATTGAACACTTCCCACCCACAACAAGGGTGGGAATACGTGCAAAAACACTATGAAGCTGGTTGCATTTTGTAGATAGTATTTTCCCACAACTGTCTTATTATATATACTAAATTGCCTCTTGCCTTTTTTCACTTAATATATATTGGACACGTATAAACAGGAAAGTAAAAAGTAAAAAGAATTAAGATGCAATATATATATATACCACTTCCCCACATTTATTATGTATCACATATATAAATATCATATACTAATAATAAAAAAGGGAAAAAAGTAAATAGAGCTCTCTTGTTCTTTGTAATGACCACAAAGCATGGTTTTGCAAAAATTTATTTAGTATTAATGACATTTGAGTTTTTCCTAATCTTTTTTATTACTATTAGGGCTATAATAAACATTCTTATACATTTAATTTGATTTAATTTCACAAATATATCCCTGGGTAAAATTCCTAGATATGAAACTGCTAGACAAATAAGTAGGTGCATTTTTTTCCATTAAGTTTATTGGTACATTTTAGGTATACAATACAGTTACATTCATCGTTGGGATCTTGTACCTTTACATGATGTATTTTGGTTCTTATTTTTTCCCCATTCCCCCACCCTCCCTTCACCCCCTCCACCCTTTCCTATTTACAAAGACTTTGTTTCCATTTTTAGTAGGTGCATTTTTAATTTTAGAGGATAGAATGAAGTTGCCCTCCGAAAGAGCTTCAGCAGTGTATGAAAGTGCCTACTTTCAACACCCTTCCTCAACTAATATTATCAAATATTTTCATTTTTTTTCAAACTGATAATGGGGAAAAAAGTATGAGTAGAAGTACAGTACCACTACTACTAACACTGAAACCACTACCAAAGCATGCTGAATGAACACTTACAACGCTAAACAGGGATTACCTTTGAGGGCTCTGAGTAGGAGAAGGTTTTATTTTGTCACTTTAGATTTTTTAGATTTTTCTGTGTTGCTGTAAACATCCAATAATGTTTATATGTTACTTGATTTTTATTTATTTATTTATTATTTCTTTTTTTTTTTTTGGTAGCAGGGATTGAACTCAGGACCTGGCGCTTGTAAGGCGAGCGGAGGAACCACTGAGCTAAATCCCCGGCCCTAATTGATTTTATTTTAATCTCAACAGGTATTATGTGGATGGAGAAACTATGGTCCATTTTGTCATCTTTTCTTTAAATAAAAAAAAAGAATATATAAAAAATAAAAAGAATCATCTGGCATTTGGCTTTTAACCACTGTTTTGAAACAGACTGTTACAGCATTAGCTGTATTAAATTCTAGGTTAATAATTGCATGTTCATATATTCATATAAATAGACTCAGACTTGAGAAGGCCAGGACTACAATGATCTTATTTTTTTTAAAGATATACTAAAGTTCTACTAATTTAATGCAGAAAACCAAATGAAAATGTATTGAACTCTTACCTCCAGAATAGCTCGAATCATACTGGCAGTTACTTCTCCGTCTTGTCTTTGCAGACAGCTGCGAACAGGTTTCAAGGATCCCTGAAGTAGAGCTATGCCTTTTGATTTCTCAGAGTTCTTACAAAGTAAGATACTCTCACCTATAATCAAAAACCACACATTTTCAAAATTACAACACATTTTCATAAGAACCTGCTAAAGAGAATTTAAGTTGTCTTACTTCTTTAAAAAGAGATAGCATAGGGCCAGGGATTTAGCTCAGTGGTTTCGCCGCCTGCTGCGCAAGTGCAAGGATCGGAGTTCGATCCTGGTACCAAAGAAAGAAAGAAAGAAAGAAAGAAAGAAAGAAAGAAAGCAAGCAAGCAAGCATATGATAGTTAAGATATGGTGGTTATAGCCACAGAACTGTGGCTAGTGCTTTTATTTTTTGAACTTTGGATAGAAATTAGGATATGCTACCCCAAAATACACTACTTTGTATAAATACTATTTTGAGCTAAAGACAATTAGAAAGCAATAGAGAGAGCTCTCTGCCCTCTCCCCCATTTGCCTAAAACTAAAAGTGAGACATAGATTTCCCCTTGTGAACATGTTTCTCCTCTCCTCTCCCATACTAAGAGAACAACCCTTATCACAAGAGACAAAAGGTTGGCTGTCAGACAGGGTCAGCACAAACTAATCTTACTAAAATCAACTTTCTCTTCCATTACTTTTCCCATTACTTCTCATGATTTACTGACCCTATCAGATCAAACACTTTTCCCTTTGTCTTGTCACTTCTTCATAACTTACTGACATTTCTGAAAATATTAGATGAGTCTAACAACTTTTTTGAGTCTTCACTTTTTTATGAAGAGCTCCATACACATAAAAATTAAAATATTACTGTCAGATAACATTTATATGTCTTTTTTCCTGTACAACTAAATCAATTTATTTAACAGACTCCAGTTGCATCACACAAGAAAGTAGAGGAGTATGGTTTAAATATGAAGTATCCCTTGAAAACTCTTACTCATATCATCAGGACTCGATCCCCAATTCAGCAATGTTCAGAGCCGGGGCCTAGAGAAGTGATTTGATCATTAGGGAACTAACCTCATCAATGGATTAATCCTACTCATTCATTGATGAGTTCATAGCTGAATGCATTATTAGAAGGTAGGGCCCAGTTGCAAGAAATAGGTCACTGACCCCTGAAGGGTGTATCTTGTTGCCAGCCCCTTTCACCTATGGCACTTTCCATGTCTCTCCTTCCTGCCTGCCATGAGGTAAGCAGCTTTCCTCTGCCACACACTTCTGTCACAATGTTTCTGACTTGACACAGGCCTAAAACCAATGGAGTTGGCCAACCCTTGAATCCATGAGATGAAAGAAATCTTTCCTGCTTTGTTTTTCTCAGTGATTTGGTCACAGTAATAAAAAGATGATCAATTCCACCCCCACTGCAAAAGCTAGGCCCAACTTCAGTTGCTGAGTTTGAAAATATCAGCATGGAGTACTTAAGCCCTCACCCCACTGCCTGTATCCCACCCGGATTTGGGGTCTGACTGTCTTCCTTACCTACCAGCGGCATGAGTGGGGACACAGCTTACACATTGCCACAGCCTGGGTAAACAGAGGGGCCTCAGGAATGAAGGATAGAAGACAGGCACCTTGAAAAACCACAGGCCTTCAGGCTATGTGAAGAAAATTGAGAACTGCTAGACTCCAAAATTGGGATCCCAGAAGGAATCCACTCATTCAAAAACACAGAGAGGCCAGGCATGATGGCACACACCTGTAAACCCAGTTTGTGGGAGGCTGAGCCAAGGGAATCAGCATGAGGTTGAAGCCAGCCTGAACTACAAAGCAAGACCTTCTCAAAAAACAAAAACAAAAACAAAAAAAATCACCACCAGAAAATTTTTGAAGGGGGTTTTCTTTTTTTCCTTTCCTCTTTCTTCTTCACTGGTTTATTGGAGTTGGGGAAATTTTCTTTTGTCCTTTTTCCTTATTTTTTTTGTAATTCATTTTTTTCTCCTTACTTCTTTTTCTTATCTTTCCATTTTTTCCTTTCTTCTTTAATTTTTTTCTTACTTTTTAAACTATATTATTTCATTTTTTCCTCACTTTTTTCTTCTTTCTTCTATTTATTTGTTTTGTCTATTAGCTTTATCTAATTCTACAGCTACCTTTCCATTCACTAATAGGATTCTTTCTCACTTCTCTCTCCTCCTCATTGCATATAGTCCAAATTTTCAAATCATCATCTTGCATTCTCCAGTTCCCAATACCCTATATCTTCAATAACAGAACCATTAACCTCTATCAATCTTTAGATAGTTAACTCTATATAATTACCATTGAATTCTAGTCTATTATTAGTGGAGATATAGCTGTTACATTTAGTGCATATTAACTATATGTCAATATCTAGGTTGTCTTAATGTTTATACTGTAATTATGGATTTCTTTCCTGTGGTTAAGGGAGTTATATTATTGGCTTTTATGGTATGCCAATATCCAATTTGTCTCAGACATATCTACTATAGCTGATTTGCTCTATCTACATGGCCAGGGTCACATAATTGTTGCTATTAATGGGTTTTTTCCATGTATCAACACTCAGATTCCCTCTGTGATATTAACAGTACTGCAGTCCATTCCCAGAGAACTGCGTGTTGTGCAAAATGTACTGCATCCTCCCCTCCTGAATTAAAAGGGGCTGAGGTCAGATCCTGGGGCAGAGGCAAAGAACAATAGTTAGCCACCCCCAAAGTGCATCACTAAAAAAGCAGACTAAATAAGCTATCTCCAACTAGCAACAAATTTTCACACAATAACGGCCCACAAAGCTCATCACAAAACAGGTACACAAAAAACAATAGAAACCTGAGGAGACAAGGCAATAAAATGCCTTCCAAAACTCCCAACCACTCCAAATGCCCCCAGGCATTGAGGGGGGAAATGGCAAAAACCACACAGCCAAATTATTTGAAAGGATAACAGAAGCGATTAAAAAAAAACAGATCAAAGAGGTACTCCAAGGGATCATAGAAGATATAACCAAACAGATAATGAAAGCAATAAACACAAGGATCAGGGAACGTTCAGAAGACACTAATGAAAACCTTGCTAAGCTAAACAAAATTATACAAAAAAAAATGACCAGTGTAGCAAAGAATTAAAGTCCATGAAAGGTTTCAATCAGAAATCAAAGGGACTAAAAATTATATTGAAATTATGGAAAACAGAAGAGACCAATGTGAGAACAGAGTTTCAAAATTAGAAGACAGGGATGCTTTCAAAGACTAACTACTCAAATATACCTTAAAAACAAGAGAACAAGAAAAATGGATCCACCAGCCGCTGGAAGACAAAAAGAAGAGTAATCTAAGATTAATTGGAATAAGTGAAAAATTTGAAGATAACACAAATGGCATAAAAAATTTATAGAAATAATACCAGAAAACATTCTAAATATAGAGAAAGTAATAGATATACAGATAGATGAGAAAGATTTAATCTCAAATAGTCATAACCAAAAGAGAACCTACCCCTGCCACATAATAATCAAAGTACCAGAAATCCACCACAGGGACAAAATATTAAAAGCCATTAAAGAAAAGCAACAAATCACATTAAAGGTAAACCCATTAGAACTGCAGCAGACTTCTCAATACAAAACTTAAAGGCCAGGAAGGCTTGGAGTGAAGTGTTTCAAGCTCTAAAAGATAACAACTTCCAACCCGACTTATATATCCTGCAAAACTCCTTCAAAATTAATAGAGAAACAACATATTTTCATAACAAGGAGCACCCCCTAAGAAATTCATGATTACCAAACCACCATTACAAAAAACTCTTAAGGATATCCTAAAAAGAGACAATGAAGCTAAAAGTGCCAATAAGTCAAATAGAATAAATAACACCTGGCAGGGTGAGCAGCTAAGCAAAAGGAGGAGGAAAAAAGGAACTCAGCAACAGGGAAATAATGCATTGACAGGAAAAAGTCAATACTTTCAGTAATAACAGTCAGTGAATGACCTCATATCCCCAGTCAAAAGACACAGATTGGCAGAGTGGACCAAGAAATAAAACCTAACAATATGGAGCCAGGGGTTTAGCTCAGTGGTGCCGCCCCTGCCTCACAAGCAAAAGGTCCCGAGTTTGAACCCCGGTACCAAAAGCAAAACAAACAAACAAAACCTAACAATATGTAGTTATGTTAGTTACTTTTCTCTCATTGCTGAGACAAATTACCTGACACCTAAAGTTGGAGGGGAAGGGGTTTATTTGGCTTACAGTTCGTAGAGATTTGAGTCCATAGTCGGCTGGCTCCAAGATAGGAATGGCAAACAGACATCACAGAGGAGAAACAACATGGCATGCACAAGATAGCAAAGGCAACAAGGGGGCCTTCAAAGCATCTTTCTGCCTCTTTTATCCCATCTAGACTACTGGGATTAGGGCAGTACTAAAACACTCACTCACATGTAGTGGTTTAGTAATCACAAACCCTTAATTCCAGTATCACACATTCCAGATTCAGCTACCTCTGACCAAATGAGGCTTTGGGAGAACATCCAGACCCAAACCATAAACAGTAGTACATAAGAAACACGTTTAATTAAAAAAGAAATTCACAGATTAAAAATCAAAGAATGGGCAACAATATTCCATGCAATGAAAACCCAGAAAAAAAGCAGGAGTAGCCATTTTAAAGTCACACAAAGTGAATTTCAAGACAAAATTGATCAGAAAAGGCAAAGAAGTTCATTACATATTGGCTAAGGAAACAATTCAACAGGAAGTGATAGCAATTATATACCCATCAAACACCAGCAAATGCAACTTCATAAAACAAACAGTAATGAACAAAAAGTCAAACACAAACAATTATAATGAAGCAGGTGCCTCAAAACACCACTGTCACAGACAAATCAACTAGACCAAAAATCAAAAGAGAAATACCAGAGTAGAACCAACCCTTGAAACAAATGAACTCAAGATACATACAGAGTTTCACCCAAAAAAACCAGAATATACACTCTTCTGAGCAGCACGTGTTACTTTCTCCAAAATAGACCATGTGCTAGCCCACAAAGCACGCTTCAGTAAATACAAAAGAATCAAAATGATCCCATGTACATTATCA